TCTCGACGGAGCAGTGGACTCGCGTACTGGACAAGGATGGTAATGTCGATGTCATCTACACAGACTTCAATAAAGCGTTCGACAGCGTCCCACACAAACGCCTAATCTACAGACTTTCTGAAATCGGGATAAGAGGAAGGCTGCTGACATGGATAACAGATTTCCTTACCGGGAGATCGCAAACCGCGTGCATTGAGGCCTCAAGGTCAACTCCTATTCCCGTTCTAAGTGGTGTACCCCAGGGCTCTGCCATAGGGTCGTTGCCGTTCCTGGTTTACATTAACGACTGCGTCGACGACCTTGGGATTCACCGCCATCATGTTTGCTGACGATGTTAAGCTGTGGAGAGCCATCAGATCTGGCGCAGACATGTACGCTCTTTAAGACGGTGTTAACCGCCTGAACATTTAGTCAGCTCGTTGTCTCCTTAATTTTAATGCGGACAAATGTGTGGTCCTGAGACTCCACACCAAAAAGACCAGTAAGGAGGACGACGCCCTTCAATACGTCCTTGGTGGTCAGCCCCTTTCAAATGTTGTGGAACAGAAAGACCTCGGCGTCCTAATGACTTCCTCACTGAAACCATCATCACAGTGTCAAAAGGCAGCCAAAAGTGTGATAAGGGTGTTATTTGCGCTGAGGCAAGGATTTGTGCAGATCAATTAAAAGCTGTTCGGCAATACCTATGGTGCATTCGTCCGGTCTCACTTAGAGTATGCAGTCCAGGCCTGGCGACCGTGGTTGAAGAAAGATTATCAACGACCGGAAAGAGTACAGGCGATGGCTACGAAGATGGTCAATAATCTTCATCAACTGTCTCGCGAAACCAGGCTGACCGAACTAAATCTTGCTTCCTTTACATTCCAGGCAATTGCGCGGCGATCTCACTCAAACCTATAGGATAGTCAAAGGCCGTGAGTGTGCCCTAGACTTTGATAGATTCTTTGAATTGGCTGGGACTGACCGTCTGTGTGGTCATTCCTCTAAACTGCAGAGAAAGCTGGCTCATTCGGACGTCCGACGGAACGTCTACTCTTACAGGGTCATTGGGACATAAAACGGACTCTCTGATGCGGTGGTTCTTTCCGAGACATTCGAATCCCTTAAGTGTAGACTAGATGCACATTTGTTGAGAAACTACTGTACATCTAATCACGATTGTTTTAGTGGCGGAAGTTTGCGCCTGGCTCACACTTACCGCTAACTTTTGAATTTCCGCCTTTGCTGATGTAATTGATGATTTTATTTCTGTTTATCGATATGAATAGGGAGCTCAAGGGCGAAAGCCCAATTCCTTTAATAAAGTGACTAAAGCTGACTTATGTACCGCTTACGCGCAGACTCCAACTTGTGTGCGTTTCGGCTCAACTACTGACTTTGTACCCATTGCCCTTGTTATCCTTTGAGCGGCGTTGTCAGTCAAACCCGTTCTGGTGTGGTCGTTTGATTGGCTTCCCTCAGCTTGTTTTTAGTGTTTGGGATCGCGTTTTTGCTTGATAATGCCCGCTAAAATACCATGGAATACTCCTCAAGCTAATATTGTGACGTCATCGCGGATGGAAAGTCTGACAAATTATTGCTCCAAAACTATCCGGGCAATTTGAAATTGAACTCAGTCGGTGGGGCTAGAGTGCAAATAATCATGTTTTATGGTCTCATTCAAGCTATTATAACGCAGATGGTTCCTCTCTACGCCGAACCTTCTCCTAACTTTCAAAAAATGTGCTGACTATCTTACACTTCTTTGCCCCATATTAAAGTTAACAGAATTCGAGAAATTAATATCAAGGCTTTTACGCCACCTGTTTGCTCGCCAACTAAGCCTTTACGTCAATTCTATCTATTACACAGGCTTCCTACATTTGGAGGTTGCATGTCCTATTGGGAGAAGCCTAGCCCGATGAAATACAAAGGTTTCTTATTACATTTAGTTGGTGATCGGGTTGCCGAAAGGGCTATTATCTCATGTCTTATGCTACCCCCATAACAAGCATAAATATCCTTCCTTTCAGCTACAGCAAACACAGAGTCTTTTAAATGCTCTCCGAATGGTGGAGGGATATGATGACAACATGGGCTTTGACGACTTTTGAATTAGTCACCACGGCCAACCTGCGTTAAGATCCATTAAAACTGCGCGTTTATCGTCAACAGCCACCTTAACTGTACCTGGCGCCCTTGTCCGATGACTTCTGTCTGAAGGTCATTCGCCCCTTACAGTGAGCCGTTCCAGGCGCGCTGGCCTGAAGCCAATCAATTGACTTCAGTTCCGACACATCCACGTCCACAGTCATAGTTGCCCATGCGACCACTTGAACGCAACTCTGCTATGCAACCACAACATAAACAACCTATACATCGTCCATCGGTGAATCAAACACACACCGACTGTGTACCACCTCAGATTGCCCCACAAACTTACAAAAGAAGCTGTCACCACTGTCTCAAGGGCTATCAGAGCCGTAACCGAATGTACGTATCACTCACACGTTCAGTTTGTACCTCGTTCGCATATGAATGTATAGACCCGATAGGAATTTAACAAAATTACGCGTAAGCTCACCAAATGCTCTTCTGAATTTTTATTTCTGTCAGCAGTTCCGCTCCTGGTTGCCGGCCGATAATTTGTAACAAACTCTCCAACATTTAGTTTGAGTTCAACGTCTACAGAGGTTTCAGAGCCAGGGTAGTCAGGGATACAAAAACTTCAGGAACCCCAGCCAGATGCCTAATTTCTACCATCGACAAACTACGAGTGTTGTTTCACTATATCATTAGTTTTGGCGGTTGGAGCGTACGCGGGTCTCCGCTGTTCCGAAGATGGGGTTGGGTACCCAACATGGCTGTGTAGGCCAACTTCAATTTATCTCATTTATTGATTTCTCTTAGGGCTCAGGACATTTAGCGGCTAAATCTTGTTTAAAGCTCGCTGCACCGTTCTGCGTTGCACTGACTATTCTTGGATATCTTTTACTTCGTCTACCGTCAATGCCGGAGTACTTTTTTCGATTTTAAAGTTAATCCTCAATAGAGACCAAAGACAATTTATTAAATTTCCCAAAACACTTGCTGATCTTAAGGCGCTTGGCAGCACGCTGTCTATGTACAAGGGGATTTGCTATTGGCGGATCCTACTAACGATTACGCTCATCTACATATTGTATCCTTTTAATCAGATTGAAGTAATTGAATGTTTATACCTTAAGGTTGTTTTGTACGATGCGTGTGTTCTGCCTGATCGTTGACTTCAACTGTCTTACCATACTAGGGAGGGAGGAAGAGCGAGATTTTATCAGTGGTCGACCGTAGTGTGTTGACTCCCTTAGCGTGCATACAGCTCACCTNCTTCGATGTAATTGCAAAATTAGCCGAAATTTTAATAATTTCCTACCTGCGAGCTGAGAACTGTACCTGATCGGCCTCTGATTAGTTGCAATACTTTACAAATTCTGACTGCACTGTCACTTCGTTTTATTCGTGACAAATCAATTTATACATTTAAAAGTTCGCATAACTGAAACCTCTACCAATTATGCACACTCCGCCTTCTCATACTGTTTAAGTGCCTGAATAGCCGGGAGTATTTTGGATGCTACAGCAAATGTCATCATCGGTCTCCAAGTCCAGTCAGCAGGAAAATGCAAAGAGTCAACTCGCTGTCAAAAATTACAATTCGCCTCTCTCATCTTTTGTTAACATAATTGGTCCACCCAGGCAGGATTAACCGCACCATCCCCTACGAAAAAAAAATAACTTGGATGAACGTATACGACGTTTCAGCCTCCACTACGCACGTGTTGCGATCGCCAAACCAGGTAAATAGCCGTCTACCAATGACGCACACTACGAATTCCTTGTGGCGACGTGAAAGCCTGAGTGCACCCAAACTATGTGCTACGTCACCTAGCTCAACAAAAGTCGCAAAAAACTGCATCGTCACGGGCGCCTGATAGCAGGGGTCTTGAGGCGCTTTTATTCACACTGTCGTACCACACTGAGATGCGCCTCGAGCATGTGTACACAAAATAATCACATGCCGCAACGGTCATTTCTTCCTTTCGGTGCATTCAAGTCATGCACCAGTGCTGACAGTCTGTCCGCTAAGGTCATGCATTTCAGCCTCCTGCGTATCCCCCTCCCTCCCTTTCCTGTGGGATTATTCACTGTTATTTTCCTTTCATGGATTTGAAGCAATGTTTTCCCGGAATAAATTTGAATAAGGCAAAGGCGACAAAGCATGCAGTATTTACTGACGTCATAAATTTCGAGACCTCTCATTCAGCTGCGTACGGTCATTGCGTAGTTATGTGTCAAGGCAAACTGTTTAATCAACGATCGACCTAGACAGATAAAACGTGATAGGTAACCTGAAACATGGGTCTAGTATGCGGGTGCATATGGCGAGGGGGGGGGAAAGAAGCCATCCAAGTATGAGATTTAGGACTACAGTGAGAACTTTTCCGGCGT